CTAGTATAACTATATTAAAGGGTTATTAGCTATAAAGGTATATTCCTATTCGACCCTATACTTATTATACTTCGGGAGGCTACTATATCTTATTAGTACTTTAATAACTAACTTCGGTAATAGAGTAGCCTAGGATATCGCTATTATTCTTCTCTTAATCGGATTAAACTTAGATTTATATAAGAATAGTATTCGTATTTTATAATAATAATTAAAGATTAAATCGTTAGAGCTAAAGAGTATATCTACTCTATACTAATCGAGGAATTTATATCCTAGTAATAGCTTTAATACTAGATTCTATATATATTATACTATAATAGTTACATATCCGAATACCTTTATATCCTATCTACCTATTAAGCTAGGAATATATAAATTAAAGGTCGCTTTATAGTCTAATTCGATTTATATTCCGCTAATACTTTAAACGGTTTTCTTCTTTAATATATTAATTATTATATTCTTATCGAATTCTATAAGCTAGTCTTAGTCTATAATTACTCTAGAGTATATAGAATCTATTACGATATAGTATTATTTACTTCTCGGTTTAAATAATATTAGAAAAGAGTAATATCTATATCCGGACTTTCTTTTAATATATTAGCTATCCTTAAGTCGTATTAAGCTCTAGGCTTCGATAATATTATCTTTATTAAATACTAGGAATATAGTCTCTATAGATTTCTCTTCTATAGCTTACTCGTTAATAGTACTCCGTTCCGCTTTTATAATCTATCTCTCTATAATATCCTACTTTCTTATTTATAAGCCTTAGCCCTTAGGTTTCGGCTAAATATAATTATTAGCGAAGACGTAATCTATAAATAATCTTCTTAATATGAAATTCCTTTTATATTTATAATAATATTATAGAGTATACTATTATCGCGGAGGTTTATTAATCGGTACGGAGTAATAAGAGGAAGTAATAATATTATAGTTAATACGATCTAGTATTCCTTATTTATCCTCCTATATTAAGAAAACCTCTTTAGCTATCTCGTAGCTATCTTATTATAAGTCCTATTTATTCTCTTAAGAGTCCTAATCGGTTAAATAGATATATACGTAGTTCGCCTAACTACTATCGTATCTAGTCTATCTTCGATATAGTCTATATATCTCCGCTTATTATCTATTAAAGGTATAGCCTTTATATATAAATATAATTTCTCTTTAGAATAAACCTCTAATAATATTACCTCCTTAAGGGAAATTATCTCTAATATTATTATATCTATTCTAGTAATTCCGGCTATTATACCTATTCCTATAATAGGAGTTATTTTTATTATCGGATTAGGTATCGTATCTACGTCTATTCTAATTACGTCCTTAGCGAGAGTTAGCGTTATAGCGGTTATTAGTATTATAGCGGTTACTATTACGTCTCTATTAGTCTAGGCGGTAAGAGTTATATACTAGGAAGGTAACTCTATCCGGACCGCTATTAGGACTATTATCCTTATCGAAGTCTTCTTTAGTAATATATACTATTACCGGCTATCTAATATTTAATAAAGCTAAGTCTCTCTAAAGTAATTTAGCCTTATCCTAAGTATTTCTAATAAATAAATTAATAATAATATTTAAGTTTAGCTTAAATAGGTATATTATTAGATTACTATTAATCTTAAAATAGGCTTAGTTTAGCTATATTAATAGATTATTTATTCCTATAGTATTATATAATCGGATTATATTTAATATAAATTTCTATAAATCCCTACCTATATAGATATCCTATCTAATATATTAATAAGCGTTTAGTAGTTTAGTAGCCTTTATAGAGTTTAGGGCGAATTAGTATCTAAGGAGTCGCTTTTATATATTAAGTCTAGTATAAAGTCTTTATTTTTCGTCTTCTATTAATATAGTATATTATATTTTAGCTAAGCTTAATAGTAATTATAATAGACTATATATTACTATAGCCTATCTCTTAAGTATATCGGCTTAATTATTTATAGAATTTAGAAATATATTTATATCTATCTAGTATATATCTTAGCTAATAGTATAAATTAAAGAGTTCTTATTTTTACTAGAGTCTAGTTTATAATCTAGGTAGAAATACCCGTATATCGATACCTTCTAATTATTAGAACTTAGTCCTTAGTTTACGTTATTAATTTAGATTTATATTTATAGGATCTCTATTATAATAGCTAATTATTATTAAGTAGTTATAAGTATAGAGCCTATTTAATTCTATTCTATTATAGCTAATTATTCGATTAATAAGGATAATAATTCTTATCCGATAAATAGGGATAGTAATTACGATATTATAGTATCTTCTATAGTAGGAATAGGGGTATCGGTATACGGAGTATCGTTAATTAGAATAGTCCTCGCTAAATGCTTCCTCGTAGCTACTCTACTTTTAATTTCTTCCGTTTATTTAAAGACCGTTATCTAGTAATAGTCCTCGGCGTCCGTCTCCTAGAGTACGGTCTTATTATTATTTAGGCGTTTCCGTTTAGTAATAAGCTTAGCGTAATATACGCGGAGTACTTTTATTATAACCGAAAAACTTATCTTAACTTAATAGTAGTCTACGACCTATTCTAGCGGATATCGGTATATACCTTATAATAACGATAACGAGGCTAATATAGCTCTATAGCTTATAGGTATAAACTGCTATTCTTAAGGAATAGGGGAGAGCTTATCGAATATTAAGATTATAGATAAGTCCGCTAAAAGCACTTTAACGGCTTAGTCCTAGTAGTCTTCTACTTAGTAATATAGTTAATATGCTTTAATTATCGTTATATCCGATATAGGACTAGAGACTTAAGAAGGATTTAGATTATATACTAGGAGAATAAGGAAGAATTTAATGGAGTTGATAATTCTGTGATGGGTTAGGGAGAGGTCGATAGGCTTAGAGTCTCGGTCTCTAATATTACCTCTTCGTTAACCGACGGTAGATGAATCTCTAATAATAATAGGTGCTTATCTTAATGAATATCTAGATAATATAATAGAGCGAACGTATATCTAGTTACTATTATTATTAGGACCTTACTTTAGGGGTACGTTTATAGTAGTGAAAAGAGTTAAGTTCCTAACTAAAGCTATCTAGGCTATGGCCCTTATGAATAGGTAGAGTGGGGTGCTCCGGCCTAGGACTCTGGCGGAGTCTAAATCCGCCAGGAGCCCTAGGGGGAGCACCTTCCACTAAAGGAGAAAGGTGCCTCTAATATAGAGTCTTATAACTATTCTAGTAGTTTAAATAAAAGCTAAACTATAACGATATATATAGTATAAAATAGAGAAAAATCGTAGCTATAGAATAGTATAATTTTTATAATATTCTATAGAGCCGTTCTATAGTAATAAGCGTTTAAGTTCTCTTATACCCTATTAGCTAGAGCTTAAATCCGACTCTACTTCCCCCGTAGATCTAGAGGTAGTCTAAGCGCCTTATCTACGTATAGCTACTAAGGGTTAGTCTATTATATAGAGGGTACCCCCTAGACCTCTTTTTTAGGTTTTTAGATCTTAATAATTATCTAATTCTAATTATACTTATAAGTCCCCCTTATATAATAATTCCTATCTAATTTATATATTCTTAATTATTAAGAATAGATACCTTCTAAGATATACTTTACTCCTATTAGGATTAATTTAAGTACTTCTCTTAGTTAATTATAACCTTCTTCTAATTACCCCTCGACCTACTTATCTTCGATCTAAACGAAAAATATACTATTCTATAGCTCTTATTAAGGGCTATAAGAATCTTCGATCTATTTCTCGACCTAACGTTTCCTTCTAGAGATATAGCTACTTTTATCTCTTACTTCCTCTTATCTATTATTATCTCTTTATTCTATAACCTAGCTATACCCTCGGTTATTGCCTAATACCTCCTATATCGATTACGATATATACTAATATAAAGTATTTTAATTTCGCCCTTAGAATCGATTAAAATAGCGAATACTTTCCTTTAATCGGTTTTAATAGATAAGCGTTTTATAATATAATTTAATATTTTATTATAATTAATAAAGATAATAAGAAAAGAATTATTATAAATAGCTAAAACTTATTATTTATAGCTATTAAGATATTAGCCTAGAGGAGGAGTATTATATAATAATTAAGGAAATAGGGTAGCTATGAATTAATAACCCTATAATTAGGAAATATAATAAGATAAGAAGCGGACCTATTAAGTAGAGTACGTAATAGCTTACCTAGATATAGTAATAAGCTATTAGCTTATTAGGGATATAATAGTAAGCTAGGGGCTAGCTTATAAGATAATATACTATAATCCTAATATTATAGATTATTAACGATTAATAAGTAAACTATCTAATATAAGCTTATTACTTAATAATAAGGATAGGATAAATAGGTATATAAGAATAGGCATTCTATACTTATAGATATATTCTTTCTCACGATAGTGATTAATCTAAGTCTTACTTTATATTCATTATAACGAGTACGTAACGCCTTACGATACTATATCGTCTTAGAGTCATAACCCAAGCTTCTATAAATAAGCAACCCTAACCCTCTAATAATGTTCCCCCTTCGGAAGCTGCCAGGTCGTAATAGGTAGCCTGGATCCGTATCTATTCTACTAGGTGCTTTTCCTATATCGGGGATAGCTTCTACTAGCTAGAAAACGCGATATTCTTATATTAGGTTCCTTAGATATAGTGCTAGAGGGTAGACCTTAGTATGCCCTATCTGCAAGAGGCCTTGCGGATAGAGTTGCTGTTTGTGATAGCTTCTAGAGCCTAGTTGATCTCGTCTTCGGTATATCGAGGCATTATTAGCTAAGGTAGAAGGATTTAGAATTGTAAAGGAATTGCTATTGAATTAGTAAAGATATCGGAGGTTGAAGAAGGAAGGTTGGGGTAGCGGTGAGGGATTTTGAGGCGGGCTAAATGGGGGGTGGGCCAAAAGTGGGTGAGCAACGTTATAGTAGAACCCACGTCATATAGACTCCTTTTACATTGTTCATGGTCACTATCGACCATTATTCTATATGCTACATTGTCGTTAACGTCGGTGCCGAATATGAGGCATCCTTCCGCGTTCCACGAAAACGAGATTACCCAACGCGGCTCAGCGAGGAAGCCATGTTTTGGCATGCACAAGGCTGGGCCGTACTGGCCCGGCTGATGCTGGTTACCATTCCAGCCGGATCATGCGAATCCGATACACCGATCCCATCTGCGAACGAGCCCACTTCAACATGTCACGCCCGGGACATCAACTACGTGACCGACACCTTGCCTGAGCAATGTTATAGGGTTCGTTGGCAACATGCTGAATCGATCGTATTCAATGATGGCGATCAAACGGCAGAATATATAGGACACGACCCCTCATTCCTGGATACAAGACCAGTAGATCGCGAGGAGAATGACCGCCAGCCTTCTACTGCCTCAGTCGAGACTACAAACTCTGGGGATGATCATACGGAAGCCACAACCTTCATGTCCTTCGAAGATTGGAAGGATCTCAAGGCACGTGAAGCTGAACGTGAGGCTCAAGATACCAATCCGGACTCTGAGAAAGCTTTGCCACCCCCCCAGGGACATGACTCTAGAGAAGAAAGTGACATAGCACTTAAGGTTGAAGCAGTATCAGAAGAGCTCAGCAGTATCGCAGCGCCACCGCGGCAATCTCTTGCTGGCGCTGGCGAAACCGAGCAGCCATCGGAACCAGTTCTATATGACGATGGCAAGGCACAGTATTACCGCAGTAAGGACGCAGGGAAGACATGCAAGGAACGATTTTCATACTCGTCATTCGATGCTGGCGCTACTGTCCTCAAGACCAATACCGGAGCGAAGAACGCGAAGGCGATATTGGTCGAGAACAAAGACTCCTACATGCTGCTCGAATGCGCCGCGGACAACAAATTTGCCATCGTCGAGCTCACAGACGACATTCTCATTGATACTGTGGTACTTGCAAACTTCGAATTCTTCTCCAGTATGATCCGGCACTTCAAGGTCAGCGTCAGCGACCGGTATCCCGTGAAAGTCGACAAATGGAAGGACTTGGGCGTATTTGAGGCCAAGAACTCCAGAGACATTCAGCCTTTTCTCGTCGAGAACCCTTTAATCTGGGCTAAATACGTTCGCATCGAATTTCTTACTCACTACGGGAATGAGTATTACTGCCCAGTATCTCTACTCCGAGTCCATGGCACCCGCATGCTCGACTCCTGGAAAGATACCGAGGCACCCCCCGACGAAGACGACGCTGAAGACGAACCTGTGGATGCAGTCCTGGACCTCATTCAAGACTTGGACATTGATCAGGCACAGAGGGTACCACCACCTGACAATAGTGAGGCAGATGAAGTTACTCGCCAGGGACAAAGCATCTGGAGTGATGTGGGTAACTCTGTGCCATCTTCACCACTACAGGCTTCCCTTGTTCAGGAGAATCCTCTGGATTTCACATGCCCCGTAAACACTGCTGTTCTAGAAGAGGCTGCATCGAAACCACGTTCGACCGTGGACAGGCTTCCGCACGAAACTGAAAGTCAAAAGGCCGACGTCTACCCTGCTGCCCACTCCGACGATTTGCTACTTTCTCAACGATTGAAAGAACACTGGACTGGTCCGCTGGATAGGGTTGATGATCCGTCCGATCTAGTCACTGGAATAACCTCTACCGATTCAACATCTATCATCCCTGTGACGGTAGCGACATCAAGGCCGACGTCAGTACCACACATTTCGTCTCAAAATGCATCACGCATCGCTTCGGGGTCCCCAAAGAGACCATCGCCGGTTGCACAAGCGCCGACGCGCTCCAAGAACGGCACTTCCGCCTCAGTCCCGCCGGCCTCGCCAACGGTCCAAGAGAGCTTCCACAAGGCGGTAAGCAAACGCTTGCAATTGCTGGAGTCGAATGTCACGCTGTCTCTTGAGTACTTGGAGGAGCAGTCACGCTTTCTACAGCAATCTCAGCGGGCGTCAGAACGCAGACAACTAGCCAAGGTTGACTTGCTACTAGACAGCCTCAACCACACAGTCTTATCCGAGCTTCGTCATGTTCGCCAACAATACGATCAGATGTGGCAGTCCACCGTCATGGCCTTAGAGAACCAGCGGGACCAATCGCAAAGGGAGCTCGTCGCGCTAGGTTCGCGACTGAATGTCCTTGCTGACGAAGTAGTATTCCAGAAGAGGATGGCCATTCTACAGGCGATACTGCTACTATCGTGCTTGGTAATGGTAATCTTCTCGAGAACGATAGTCTCTGTTTCACCAAACCAGATGGATATGCCATTCAGTTCAAGCCGGCAATATCAACATAGTCTCCCCCGAGCTCTGCATTCCTCTGGGTTGGGTCGATCACACAGCGGCCATCTTTCTACTTCAATTGTCGAATATGACCATGAGGGCGATGCCCAGCAACAAGGCCAAGGCCACGGCACGGATCCCTTCATCCGAGTCCATCAGCACAGCCATGGAGGCAGCCTTGCTGATGCACGGCGTACATCAGGGCCACGGCTAGAGCGTGCTCGACTTGCTACCTCACCCATTTCTCTTAGCGAGGATGACTCCTGGGTTACTCGCCAAAGCGAGGGTGTTCCCATCTCTCCTAGCATATCGGCGACGCCACCTACAGCAAATGAGCGCCACATTAGCCGATCGTTCAATCCGCATTCTTCTGAACAGATTCTGACTCCGTCATCTTCAGACGCACAGGACACTCAATCCGACGGAATTGGCTCAGACCCATCGAGCGAAGATGGCTCCCGAACACCACCCAGCCCCTTGGGTAGGTTGGCAAACACGCATGATCTGGGTCCTGGTTTTCGCAAGCCGCTGCCTGCACTTCCTGAACATCTCCCCTCGTGAAGGCTGTTCACATGGTCAGTCAAATACCGTGGTTACGGCGCCAGCACACCGCACACGCTTTACTTTCATGATACACGAGATATGTTTCCACGTCCATCAGCTTGTACAGAAGACTCGAAATGGCTCTTCATCAGCTACGTATGAATATTAGACATGAGACCCACTCAAACTTTGCTGGGCTCTCTACATAACAAGCAACCCTAAAATAATCCCACACATCAGACGCAATGTTATGTGTGCAAGTAAAAGAGAGGAACAAAGAGACACAGGAACCTCCAACATTCAATCATCTAACCGGACTATACTCCATCGGTTTTGAGCCATGCATCACTACCAGCCTTAGTGCGTCGCTTTCAGCGGGAGTAATGCATGTATGATTCGTTGGCTGTCTCGAATTCATGCTCCTCCAGTGCTGCAAGTCTTGTGCCGCGGTCGTATTGTGAGCGTCTTCGGCGCTGCTCATCACGGAAGTGTTGGCCAGCATTGGGAGTGAAGAGACCTATCAATGGAGAAAGCTCCTATTAGCATTCAATCCTGTCACTTACAGCCTCAAGAGTGACGGACTACATACCGACGTGTTCTGCGTTTTCGCAGCTTCGCTTCATCTTTGACTGGTTGTCAGGCTGGGGAAAAGGCTCTTCTTGGCCCGCAAGTTCCGGAACAGGACCATTGGAGGTGTAGAATAGCTGAGGGTGCCTTTGTCAGCGGCGAAGGCCTATATGTTCTCGAGCTCGATTCACCTTGGGCCGGTAATGCGCTGCTTCCAACATCACGGAGCTATTGCGGAATTTCTGCACTAGGCAGTCCTTGCCTTGGATGGCTAACGCGGCATATTAGCTTAACACATTGCGGAAACGCGGAGTAGTAGGCATCCTACTGGCGTATGAGATTTCGGCTACTTTGTCACTTTTGAAACAGTTCCACCGCTGGTTGCCGCGCGCGTTGACAAACTATACTGGTGTTAGGGATGAATTGGAAGCACAGAGGATTGTCAGGGCTCCCGCCCTGTTGACCTACGTCAATGATATCCAGTGGCTGGTAGTGGTTAGCTTTGGCATCGTGGATTGCTCAAATGAAGACTTACGTCAACAAAATTGATGAATGCATAGCCCACGCTGTGGACATGAAATTACATTAGTCCAACGGGGACAAGGAAGGTTGGGGACAAAGAAATTGGCAATTGGTTCCTTCGACTTACTTGCAGTCGTTGGCAAAGTCAATCCGGAGGTACATGAAGTCGTACTTGCCCCAACTGGAATCGTCCACGATACGTTTCAGCATTGCCTGGTCAACCTTGTTCGGTATGTTGCGGAGCATTATCTGTCAGGAAATTCAGCATTATGAAAACGTACGCACTCCGTGAGAGGCTACACGCACGGTGGTTCGGACATCTGTACCCTCGCGGATTCTGCCAACGTCCACGTGGTTGTGGTGACTGGCCACACCATAAAGAGACATCCGGTTGACTCGGGATGCATGTTGACGGCGGATATCAGGCCTGGGGTAAGCTGGCATCGTGCGTGGCTGACAAAAATCATCCGGAATGGGGACTACCTGAGCATTGCTAGTTCCTGTTGCCAGCGTTGCCATGAACTGGTAATTGACGGATGCTGGTGATGACGGGATCGCGTTCTGGTGACCATTATCCAGACGATAAGCCGCCATATTGGACTGGAACGGAGCGTGACAGATTATTGGCCACATGGTGTATGGTTGCTGGACTTGCAGTCTGGTTGGGGGATATTGCTGGCTTGGACCGATCGGAGGCACCGTTGGAGACGGCACCAACTGTGACGCAGGTGTATGTTTGCCCAGAGTCAATTCCTGCATAGACTGATCAAGATTTCTTTCAACAACTGGAGAGAGAACTGATGTGCTGTCGTGCATCGCGCTTGAAGGGGGGGTATCATGTCCCTGGAGAATAGACAAGTGGACTATGATGTCCTGTACACACATTAGAAATCAATTTCGCACTTCGTGATTTACAGTCAAGTCTGTATACCTCAAACAAACAGCCGTTGTACGCTGCCACAGCGGAATAGGCATCGGCTGGACTGGCGTACTCTGCAAACGCTGCGTAGACTATGAGCCCAGAGCTCCGCTGAGGCGACTGGTACCCAACAACCTCGCCTCGAGATTGAAGCAGCTGTAAAATGATGCCTTGGGTATGAACAACATCGAGTGCACCTGGCACGGGCGAGAATGCCAATATCGAAACCTGCAAGGTTGGTGAAGTTACAGCAGTGTGCTGTGAGTTCTGGTCAGCTTTACAGATAGCTTCTCGAGCATAGTTAATCCTACCCTGAGCCACTGATCACCAGCAATGCGTAAGGCTTCACAGACCAACCGAGCACGATGGATGTTGTCGTGGACAACAGTGGCACTACTCGTGCTCTGAAGCCGTACATACGCCTTCCCACCCCTACACACAATATGGTGTGCCTCTAGATCCAGAAGGCCTAGCCCTTCAAGTCTCTACTTGCTGTCAGTTTCGGACCACAATTGGCGGTAGCATAGATTCTACCACCTCGAGATAACTGATGATGTCTCCAAGACGCAGGGCATGGCCGGGAGACATGATCTGAACAAATTGCGGAATACTGCTTTCGTGAGACGCCAAGTTTGATGCGTTCGATCCCCTAGAGGTAGACATTGAATTGGTAAGACCCTCTGAAAGCTCCGACTGAGCTGAGAATGGGTGGAAGGCAGAGGCAGTAGGAGACAGCAGTGAGGTAGTACGGGCTCTGGAGTACACCGTCACAAAAGGGTCTTTGTCGCCGATAGATGGCGTCTTGCCCACAATGCCGACGGGAAACTGGCTTGGTTTCGTGCCAGCCCAAGGTTTCCCGGTTAGTTCAGTGATACATGATGTCTTAGCCGGTTTTTCGTCTGGTGAGAATGATGTGAGCCTTGTATCAGGCGTGCCTTTGAACGATTCCGCTCCGCCACATGACGAATGAGGCGATGATGGGTCGAAACCGTTGACATCGTGGGTCAGTGCCATTGCGCGTGTTTGTGTAGAGTTATGGCCACAGATGAAACTGTGCGATAATCTGGTCAACTGTTGAGCTGAGTCGTTGATCCCTGCGGAAGTTGCCCTCGGATTGGGTCCAGGGGAAGCGAAGACTGGTGTTGGCGGTATCTTCCGGTGACGGAGACAATTTGCAGATATAATTTCAATCTGTGTGTGCTCGTCCGCGTGGAGTGAAAATATCAACAGTAGAGGGTTATATGTCGGGCGCGGGGTATATTACTCCTGGCTTCCCGGGGGAAGCGTGAAGAGTTCCCAACGAGAAGCCCTGTGTGTGAATATGGCTTCCTGGGTGACTCATCAGATTCGTGCCTTCCATGTCTCATGGAAGGCGTGAAGAAGCTGTTCCTGCTAATATCTGCTCTGCACGTGAAACAGCCCGGGCCATTAAGGGCGGGTTATCTTGTTCTGAGGGGAACGAATTACTGGCAAAGGGAGGCGCGAACGGGACGAGGGAAAGAGCAACCAGTTTCATCCGGCAAGTTCTCCAGCCTCACTGGAAACCCGAGGTTCAATTGGTCGAAGAAGTCTCTGACCCGAGGAAGGCACGTCGCCTCACACGCCACCGGATGGCTAAGAAAGGATCCGAATGTAGCAGGCATCGGATCCTTCCACAGCCGTGAGATCTATCAGTGTCCGGCCGTTGGCACCCGGAATCGCATCAAAATGACAGGTGTGGATATGTGTGTGGTAGTATGTTTAGATGTAAACAAGCTCGACGCATGGTCTGGATGTCGGAATAAGGGGTAAACCTGGAGACACGGATTGCAATACTTGCATCAAGACCGACGGCAAACGTCCAGGCAGCTGCACTATCTAATACCATCCTTTTACGCTGAATGATTTTGAATTCATGTGGCAGAAAAAATGATATACACATTGCCATGGATTGGATAACTGCCTGTGAATCACCAGCTGCTCTCAATCTACTTACCTTGGTACCTACCTACCTTAGGTATGGTAAGGTAGGTAGCAAAGGCAACTACCTCGTGTCATTCCAATAGTTGACTGAAGCGTGAGGTGTAGTCGCACGGACCACCTCGCGGCTCAAGAAGCTCATGCGGGTGGTCACTGGTAGGTACGCTGGTGCTTCGTGCACTGTCGCCGCATGCTTACCGTCCATCTGATGAATTACCCTCCTACCTACCCACCTAGGTGCCTACCGTACTGAGGCATCTTGATCCAGAAGTCGCGCACCCAACGTCCCTGCAATTCAAGCACGAGTTCAATCATTGGACGCCTTGACTGTGCCAACTCGAAGTTGTTGCTGAGATGTGCAGGTAGCGGCTCCAACCCGAACGGCATCGCGACATTGGTGCACTCCAACATGCCTCGGCGTGTTCAGAACTACGATGACTACGGCATCGCAGTTCAAGAGGTGAGCCAACTAAGCCGGTCATGCAAATCATCTCCGTCGGAACTTCCAACGCAGATCATAGCTCACCATTCTCGTTCGTCTCAGATCATCGTCCTCTCTTCCAATGCCGACTTCTTGGATCAACTCATTCCTGTATTGAAAGACGCATCCAGCTCAGGCCGCACCCCTGCACTGTTGCAAACACTCTCACAATACTCCGAAGACAGAGAAGCAGATATCGAAAGAATCGGTCTCACAAAGCACGAGGAGTTTCTCGGCTCAGTTACCCAGCTGCAGCAGATTCGCGAAGGGACTGTGACTTTGACTGCAGAAATTCTTGAGCTCAACGAGTCCATCCAGTCAAGTACAGAGAAGTTGGCAGACCAAAAACGGGGACTTGTCAATACGAGAGCTGTTCGACAAAACATCGCCGATGCTTCCAACGCGCTACAGGACTCTTTGAGGATACTTTACGCCGTGAATAATGCACACGAGCTGATTCGCAAGAAGAAATACTATGCAGCCCTGAAATCCCTAGAGGACTTGCAAAACGAACACCTGGTGCCAATCATACAAAATAAATACGCCACGCAGCACAAGTTGGCTGATGTCATTCAAAAATCCATCCCACAGTCACAGAAGTCGATATCTGAAGCCGTCATGACGGACCTCAACACCTGGCTATTCCGCATTCGTGAGACGTCTCAATTTCTTGGCGAAGTGGCCTTCTATCATACCGAACTCCGACGGGCCAGGCAGCGAGAGAGAATCGAGAGCGACTCTTATTTGAATCGATTCAAACTCAACTCATCCATTGAGCTGGCGTATGACGAAAGTGAGGAGTTTGACGAGTTGGATAACGAGGAGCTTCAAGTCGATTTCACCCCTCTTTTCGAATGCCTGCATATCCACGATGCACTTGGACAGCGGGATAGATTCCGCGCCGAATATTCTGCCACACGGCGGCAACAAAAGGACTTGTTGCTGCCAGGTACTGTAGGACTTACAGCCGAAGACGAGAACTCACTAAGCAGCTTACTCGAAGGAGTTGCTGGGTTTGCCATAGTGGAGAAGGCGACCATGCGAAGAACACCTAATTTGCGATCAATCGCTGATGTAAGACAAACCACCAAAGCGCCTGCTTGCGCGGATGCTAACGCCCCCTCCAGGTCGACGAGCTTTGGGACTCCATGTGCCATACTGCGATTGGGTTGACATCGACAGCACTGGATGAAGTCAGCAATGCTGAAGTCCTTTTAAAAATCAAAGGTGTCATGGCTCTCTTCATCCAGACTATGGAGGTAGGATTGTCTCTGCTGGCCGCACGTCTCTATTTCTGCTCACACGCGCTTGTATATAGGGCTGGGGCTACTCCGTGACAGCACTGGACGCATTTCTGTTGACCCTGTTCGACAAGTATGCGGAGCTCTTAAAGCGTCGCTTCAGTGAGGACTTTCAAGAGGTACACGTTCTTCATTTCTCGTACAAAAGTGTGAGCCCTGCTAATGGAGGAAGATTGTCTCTACCGACGACTACATGCCCATGGCTATCAACAGCCGTGAAGAGTACGAGAAAGTCGTTAATGTTAGCTGGTTTTCGCAGGAGAAGTCACCGGAAGACCTAAGGTGAGCATCTGCAAACTAAGCCAGGAGCCACGGGCATCGTTAGTTGTACTGACCGACCTGCCACACCAGTTTCCCTTGTGTGCTTCCCTTCTCCCAGATGTATCCGCTGTGCTGCATCGACATTAGAAACTTCTTGAACCAGTTCTACTTCTTCTCAGATGATCACTTCCAGCACTCCAACATTATTGATGAGACCCTCAGAAAAGCACGTTGGCCTCTTCACTTGAAATTAGTCGTTTGCTGACATCATTTGCAGTCTCTTGACGAGTTATTGACCGACAAAGTCTGCAAATCCTTAGTAGAGCGTCTGAGCTCTCAGTATCTCGGCCAGATCGTCCAAATTCTTATCAACCTGGAACATTTCGAGGCTGCATGCCAAGAATTGGAACAGCTCCTGATACGAGCCCGGTCATCAACTTCTGCGGGAGGTCCTGTGACGCTGGGTGCGACTGAGCAGTTTCGGAACAACAAAAAGACGGCAGAGAAGCGCATTTTTGAACTCGTTAACTCCAAGATCGACGATTTGGTCGATACGGCCGAATATGACTGGTTCGCAAATCTCTCTTCAATCATTTGTCGATTTGCTGGTCTGAATCTGACGAAACTTTGCGAACAGGATGACCTCCACGGCACCAACAGACCCAAGCAATTACATGCAAACATTGACACGCTACCTTTCCAACATAATGAATTCAACTCTGCTTGGCCTCCCACGGGAGATCAAGGAACTCATCTATTTTGATGCGCTGAGTCACGCCGCCAACAAAATTTTGGTAAGCACACAAGACTTCAAAATGGGGCTATTGGTCAGTTCTCAACTAACCCTTTCCCACAAGGCTCTACCGCTCTCCTCGGAGGTCAAACACATCAACACCCATGCCGTCTCGGCATTGGCCGTCGACGTGCATTATCTTACGGAGTTTGTGGACAGCCTCGAAAACGGAGCTATGCTTCGTGAAAACTTAGATGAGCTTCAGCAGACTGTCAACCTGCTGCAATCGGACAATCACGACGAGTTCTTTGATATCTCCATCCGCAACAAGAAATTCGGAAGAGTGGACGCCCTGAATGGCCCTATGCTTTTAGAGAAGTATGTTGATATTGACGCCAGGCAAATTGCGATGGCACATGAAGCTGACCAAGTCACAGACTCACAACACAGGCAGCGCCACTAACGCGCACAGCTCCCCTGTCCAATTTCTCCTCTCGCTTTGGCATGATGAAATAAATCCAGCAGAGGGGTTCATGTAGGGAGACTCCGAAACACAAGGAAAACAAGGAGGAAAGAAAGAACACCGAGCCCTTCGCGGCTGAAGGCAGAGGAATGCCAAGGTGCTGAAAGTCTCAACGCCGGACGCCACGTACGACAAACATTGCTTTCGACAGTCATTTCATAAGCCTTGTGATGGCGAGGCCTGCAGCATCAGGCCGGCCCCACGCTGTACAACATGCGTATGATGTTTGTGGCCGACCTGGCTCATTCGAACTCCTCCGATGACATAGGTGCCTATAACTCTAATTAGTCACTTGTTGCGAGTCGAAACAAGATGGCGGCTGGGTAGCCTCCGATTGACTTGCCTGTTGGGCTTGCATAGTTCCATAGCCGTACATGCCCTCAATCTCACCGTACATCGGTGGTTGAGCCTGGCCGTAGGGGGCTGATGGGTTGGCCTGAACCGAGCCGGGGTACATGTTCGGTGGCTGCCTGAAATCTTGCTCGGGAGCGATTGCATGAGCTCCGAGGCCATAGTCCGAAGGGGCCATTTGGTGTGAAGACGATGCATGGTTTGGAGCCTGGGGTACATGCTGGCCAGGGAGCTGAGCCGGTGGTGCTTGATGCACGCCCTGCTGTGCAGCCGCATTTTGACCTGCGGTTCGTTTGGCCTGCGCAGAAGCCTCTTCCCTCGGCACAATATCGATGAGAAAGTCAAACATATCCGACTTGGCAAGAGCAGACGCAATATCAGACCTCTGCAACGTCCGACGCTTGTTTTCTTCCGCATGAATCCATGCTCGCATGGTCAGCTCGGTGATAAAAATGTCGCAGCCCTTGGCGAATAGAATTGGAGCCTCCGCTGAGATCATCTTGACATCGGGGTCAGCCTTCATCACCTTCTTGATCCGGGCCAAGGGTAGCTGATGGAGCTTGTAGTCGTGGGTGTCACTCTCAAGGTGATTGATAGTTTGTTGCCAGTATGTGGTCAATATATCCTTATATTGGCCTGTCAGACCTTGATGAACCTAGACGAGGGAATATCATGTTAGCTGGTTCATCGGCAACATTGGAGACTGTTCACCTACATTGGCCCAAGGACCCGTGTACAGCTCGGCAGGTGCAAACCCTTGAGCTGAGAGCTAAATGATTGTGAGAATAACACTCTACAGGGTAATGAAGGTGGGCGTACCGTAGCGCTGGCTCCTGATAAGTAACAGTAGGTCAGTAATATGTAGAAAGAGGAGGATAGGCAGGATGTTGCGGCAGCGTCAGAGGGGGCCATACCGTAGTGACCGCCATGGCTGGTGTCGTAAACAGGTTGCTGCGGGCGACCTTGTTGGTTCTGTGCGTCCATCTTGTACTTTCGGATTACGAGTACAACAACGTTGACGCGTAGCAAGCTGGGCGTTCTATATTGCCCCCTGGTCTTGATGTTTTAGGGGAAAGCGAGGTAAAGAGGCCTCAGAAATGATGGACGCGGCTGGAGGTGGATATTTTCCAGTCGTTACTAGAGCGCGTCAGTCGCGAGAATGAGGCCAGGCTTAATGTAGCCGGCATGCCGTAAGCGGGGTAGTCGTGTAACAATACCTTTCCCGAGCTGTTGCGGCAGGTGTGATGATCTTGCAAATCAGGGCCCGGTGGTTCTGTTCAACTTATTGAAGAGCACGCACTTCGCTTGGATCTGTTTTGGAGATGAAGCTACAGATTACGTTGGACAGGATGATGGTGGTGGCTGGGAGTGGATGCCCAACTCCCCTCTAACACCAATGCAATTTACAGTGTGCAACTACCAAGGACCCAGGGCCATCAAAACACTTGTATATGGCATCAATGGCTTACACGCACTGTATGCTCCATACCAGCTGACTTATCTGTGTGCCATATAAGGCTAGCGTCATTTCGGACGGGAACTGCCTATGTGGTCCCACTTGCCCATGTCCAAGATCTTCTTGGATTTTTTTTCAGTTTTACATCAGGCACACTTTTCATTCTCTCCTTCTACCAAGCTTCGATCTTGTCGTGGCTTACTTTCTGTTTCCTTCTTGCTGTGCCTGCACAACGATCAACGCTTGCTGTTATACGCTATGGCTGAGCTCTCGGACGAGCGCATTCATCGGCTCTTGACTGAAGCTGAGGATCGCTTGGCAGCGAAGCCGTATCACGATATCCCGACCGACGTTGGACAGTCCACTCCGAAACTTGGCAGCCTGTCTCCTGTAGTGGGCGCAAAAGGTGGCATCGCACGGCCTCCTCAACAGAGGTTAGCGGTCCGGGATGCCCACCAGATGATCCCTAACGTATGTCACCAACCTTATCTTCTGCTTCGCGATTTACTTCTGTGTGATGATAAGCTACCCATGCTTTACACTATTGATGTGGCAGTTTGTCCGTCTTGGATTACTCTGCTACGCCCTCATGATCTTTACATTTTTCATAGTTACTCTGATGCCAATTGTCTTTTCATGTCCGCAAACTCGCATGTACGATCTGAACTGCACTAACAACCCCTGACAGAACGAGTCGGACGATGCTGGCCAAGGATGGTTCGGCCTACCGAAGACTGATCCGAATGATAAGGAATTCAAGAGAGACGTGCAACTTCTGCAGATGCGCGGAACAGCATTGGATCCCTCACGGCATTATAAGAAGGAATCGTTGAAAGCCAAGATGCCACGCTACGCACATGTTGGGCGCATAGTAGAGGGTCCAACTGATTTTTACAATTCTCGGTTGACCAGGAAAGAGAGGAAGATGACTCTGGTCGATGAGTTGCTGGCTGCCGAAAAGGCTTCCGGGAAGTTCAAGTCCAAGTTTAATGACATACAGGGCCGCAAGGCTAGTGGGAAAAAGGCCTCCTACAAAAGATTCGTCTCACAAAGGCGCCGGCGCAACTAAGATACCCAATTGCTTCATGAATCAAAGTTTTATTCAAATTCTTTCAGTATGATCATGATTGTGCATGTACGCCATTCCTCCTCTGAGCCCCTGCGAGCCACCATGCGATCATGGTGTGTGCTGGGCGAGGCAACCTGTATGAGAAGCTCGTACACGTTACAGAGGACGGTTTTAGCGTGCAGGAGGCGCTTGAAGCTCCTGGCCTAATAACCTACCTGAATTGGATGCCGTTGAAAAACCACTATCCTAAAATGCCGACCCCTGCACCTTAAATACTAGGGCCTAGACTCATATTGGCTTCAATTTCATGTCCCGTGGTCGCAAAACCCCATCAGTATCCATGATTAGCTAATCGGACGCGACCATTTGGAAGAGAACCAATTCATTAGGCTAGCGAAGTCGAATTTTGGACCTTGTTGTTCCGCCGTGACACGCAGACTCCGCGCGACCATGAGCCACTCAAACTTGCTACGGTCGGTGACAGGCCTTTCCAGTCGTTCTGTAAGTTCGCAGCCACTCTAGTATGGCTTTGATATTGTACTCAGGGCTGATACTGCCATCTTTCTCTGGGTCACAGATAGTCACTCGCAACACTCCCCATATTCGACACCTGAGCGTGCAGACACCGCGCAAAACCACACCTGTTGTAGATCAATCGTCCACGGACACGACTGATGTTAGAAAATCAGACGGAAACGTACGCTTTCCGAGGAGCGTTCAAGCTCTGTACTTGAAGCCTCTACGCCGCGAAGCCCATTTCGGTATCCCATCATGCGACCTGCAGCTACGATCTTACAGCATTCGAAACCTCGAGTTCTTCTGCGACTTCGCCTTGCGAGCGGCGTACTACCTCGATTTACCTGCCTTCGGCCCCGTTCCGCTACCTCGTATAACGGAACGTTGGACTGTGCCGAGGAGTAGTTTCATCTTCAAGAAGTCGCAGGAGAACTTTGAGAGGATAACACTCCGGCGCTTGATTCAGATCCGGGATGGAAATCCTGAATCCGTACAACTCTGGCTCGCCTTCCTGCAGAAGCATGCTTACTACGGAATTGGCATGAAGGCCAATGTTTGGGAGTTTAGCCCAATGGGTAAGTGCCTTCTCCACCACATGATACCCTCCGGTCAATGGCTTAACATGATTATAGGTCTCGGGAAGTCAATGGCCGAAGTCGCTGATGGTGTATCGCAGAGCATTGATTCTAAATGGGAACATCTTGCGCAGCACAAGACAGCGGGAACAATGAAAAAGGTGGAGGAGATACTCGCCAGTCGGAAATTCACAACGACAAGACAGGATTAAGCAGTGACTATACAGTAGAGGGGCGGCAACGGGCTTGCATCTCTTTGACATCCTGCATGTACATCAAATTGTATTAGAATAGAGGGAATACGAAGCTGCCGAGTGGCGTCAACTTCTCCTGCCAGGCCCATCGAGTCGCTCAAACAGCTGATGCGGCGACGCAAGGGTGTCCAGGCAACTTATGAGGAACTGAGAGGCTTGGTCCGCAACGAAAACATCTAACCCGATAGATTGCGATCTGAGGGAAGTCAACCAACTTGGTTCCTGGGGTTCGGAGCTGGCTAGAGCCCAAGAGAAGCTTGTCTGATTACGGGGCAGCCGATGTTTCCAGATTTACCATACAAATTCGTTCAATCTGCCCAATTTACTTGGGTGATCATCAATATTGATTTCATTATGTAAGCGTGGTGTTTTTCCAGGAAAGGCATTCTAATAAAAGAGCCTAGTCCCCATAAAGAGTTTGACTTGTGGTACTCCTCAGGTGAGTTACATGGGTACCGAGTATTGTGTCCTGATAGAAGTTTGGCGTGTTTGTATCGTAGCCAGCTTTTTCCTCCAGGCTAGCACATTGGCCATACAGTCACAGTGGACTTTGGAATCGCTGGCACAGCTGTAGACATTCTTTGCCGACATCCAACCACCAGCGTCATGGGCCGCTTCTTGTGGGCTACGCCGTTGCGATTACGCTTACGACCATCGTCTACGGTCTGTCATCGGGCAGTATATACCACAGGCGTACAGCATTCAGCTCGTGTCATTTTCTCCGGAATTCAACCCACCGGCACACCGCATCTCGGTAATTTTGCTGGCGCCATTCGCCAGTGGATTAAGTTACAGAACGAGCCTTCGGAACCCTGCAAACTGTTTTTCAGTGTTGTCGACCTTCACGCCATCACAGTACCCCAACAGGCGCAGCAGCTCCGGCGTAGTAAACGCGAGACGATGGCCGCCTTAATAGCCGCAGGGCTTGACCCACAGCGATCTGTTCTTTTCAATCAATCGTCCGTAAGTCGAGTGGCTAGTCACGCATATGAGAGGCCCTTAATGGCTGACTTTACCAAACATAGGTTGCCGCACACTCCGAGCTCATGTGGATCTTGAGCTGCACAGCATCAATGGGCTCACTCTCGCGGATGACGCAGTGGAAGGTATGTTCCGGTTCGCTCCATCTGCAGATCTCGCCTGACAAAGAGCGGAATAGAGTAAGCTGTCGCTCACGGCGGACACCTCGCTTCAAGATGACGGAGTCAAGGCGGCTCTAAAACTGGGCCTCTTTTCCTATCCTGTCCTACAGGCAGCCGACGTGCTGGTACACAGAGCCACCCACGTCCCTGTGGGAGACGACCAGCGGCAGCATCTTGAGTTTGCCCGCGAGTGTGCCAATGTTTTCAACAATGCCTACGGACAACATCTCGTTGTCCCGCAAACTTTGACTTGTAAGATGCCGCAGGCCGACGAGTTTGTATATGTATCTTCAAACTGACCAAGTCACAGCAAGGGCACGTCGCGTTATGTCCCTCCAGCAACCCCACAAGAAGATGTCCAAGTCGTCTAATGACGCAAAGTCTCGGATCTTGATCACGGACAGCCCTGACGAGATCAACCAGAAACTCATATCGGCCTTGACAGACTGCGATAACTCGGTCTCTTATGATCCTGTCAACAGACCTGGAGTATCGAATCTCTTGGAGATACTGTCCATCTTTGATGAAAGCGGTAGAGAACCCGCACAACTGGCCGAGAGCCTTTCAGGGCATAACCTCAAACAACTAAAGGAAAGGGTCTCAGAGAGTGTGGTGATGGGTCTCAACGGCATCAGAGAGCGATATATTGACCTCCTTTCGGCCGATGAAGGTAAATACCTCGACTTTGTGGAGGCGGAAGGTGCGCGGAAAGCTAGGGAAAATGCGGCAGAGACAATGGCTATTGTAAGAGAAGCCACTGGTCTTTGAAGGTCACGCTGAGTGCACGATACACATCGCACTCAACTGCTACATCAACCTGTAAACACCACCAAGATAGCTGTACCAACACTGTAAGAATGCACAACGAAAGAATGGCAATGGATTCGGATCCGTCGTCGCGGGACTGATAACAATTCTGTGACTCTTCGACCCTGTACCAAGTTGGATGCGACGTAACGATGACCGGACCTCCGTTCTCTTTGATCAGACTTTACGATGCGTAGGCGAACTTAGAACCCCTAGCAGCAAGCCAAAACTCACGCACTACTTGATTTGTCGCCCTTGAGCCTCGGAGGCTGGTCAAAATCATTGTTAGCCTGCAATGCAAGGCGTGGTGTGCCACAGTGACCAGCACGTACCTGATTACTTTCTTCAGAAACGCCTCCCGATCCTGCTGTGTCACTTGATAGCCTACACAGTGCTCGTCTCGCAAGGCATCCCCAAGCCATGAGCGTGATTTAGAGTGCTGGCTGATCATTTTCTTGAGGGGCTCGCTGAGTTTATCGAGCTCACTTCTGGCACCCCCTCCGCCAATATTCTTGATGAGCGACCGA